CGCCAAACAGGCGGGCAAAATCACTTTTGGTACCAGCCTCGGCGACGCCGGCGCTGGCGCTGGCGGCGGCCCTAACGACGCCGTCGTCAAGTGTGCTTCTACTGCGGGTCTGCTGACGGTTCCGAGGCAGAAGACCGGCTATCTGACCACGTACGAGGCCGACGGATCGGGCGGTCAACAGATGAATGCTTTTATCACCGATCAATTGGGTAAGCAGATACCAAAATGCACACTTGCTGGCCATTTTTTTCACACTTTTGCACCACATCTCAACGGCAAATTGGGCTTTCCACACGTCCCATTGTCGACATGCGAAGAGATCACTTTTATTTCTAATTGAAATGTATTTCAGCTTAAGACACAATTATGTCTATTATTTAGTATTTAACAGTCGAAATCCGGTTTGGTGAAATTGCAATGATAACATTTTGAGATAGGAAGAGCAGTTTATTATTTTTCGAATCAAGCATAGTTTTCGTGACTACGAGTATATCAGTAGTATGAGATATATTCACCCATTTCGGTTAAGGGAATGAAGGACTGGTAGTAGAATTTTCCCACAATGATATGTGTAGAACTGAAGTTTCCATAAAATTTCACATTACCTTACTTTCCCAAAAGTTGTTATTATTTCCAAACGTATATTTGCTATAACCATCGACTACTTTATTTTATTTTTCGCATTTAAGTATTGTTTTAATGACTAGCAGTAAATCAGTAGTATGAGAGGTATTGACACAATTACGTTTAAGGTGATGTAAGACTAGTAGTAGAATTTTTCCACAATGATATGAATAAAGCTGACATTTTCATATAATTTCACATAAACCTTGATTTCCCAAAAGTTGTTCTCATTCAGGTGGGATTGTCGATGAAGCAAACGTATTTTTGCTATAAGAATCGAATACGTTATGTTTTTTAGCATTTAAGTATTGTTTTCGTGACTACCAGTAGTAGTCAGTAGTATGAGATGTATTCACCCAATTTGGTTTAAGGTGATGAAGGACTAGTAGAAGAACAACTTTTGGGAAAGCGAGGCAATGGAAGCGTCAGCTGACCTCATATGATTGTGGGAAAATTCTTCTTCTACCAGTCCTTCATCACCTTGAACGAAATTGGGGTTGAATACATCTCATATTAGCAGTTTGTTAGATTAAAATGGGTTTGTCTTTCAATTTGTTTGGGATTTGTGACTGTTAGCTTGTTCTAAGACGACGTTGGCTCCGACAACTGGCGACTTGGCTTGTCTCCGCCATCTGAATGACATATTCATAGTCAGATGGCATTATTTACGATAATTATCAGCTTTGTGGTTTTTGGTGGTTTCAAGTAGACGATAGATTCTGGCAAAGGATGAATCGGCTCGCAGGACGTTGAGCTGAGGTGTTCTGTACACACAAAAAGTGTGATACGTTTGAGAGAAGCCTCCTTCGGTAGGTGACGAGGCCAATTTACGACTACTTTCCACATTCATTTAATGATGAACTTCCACAATTTTGACGGAAAATGCACTTTTTTTTCACGCAAATGACCAGCTCTCTTGCATGCATTAGTTGTATGAATTTGCTATTGAGCTCAGTTTTAATTTCGAGTCAAAGGTGTGATGAAGAGGTTGGTAGGTGAATTCCTTTTGGCCAAATGTCAATTAGCTTACTGGTACCTCCTTGTCGACACATTGTCTCCGAGGCGATCCACTTCGATTTCGGTGAAAATGGGCTAAG